CTTTTCTTCCAAAGGAACCCCAATATAAAGGAATACAAGGTGTAGGCTGCGGAAAGGTTACATCTCAGTAAACTATATCTAAATCGTGACTTCATACATTTTATTATAAAGTACCGATGTATGCTTGTGAGGTCGAGTTCAAACGTTTAAACCAAACGGTGCTGTGTAATTTTTTTTTTTTTTTTGGCAAGAGAAGAAAATGATCAACGACGCAATCGTCGGTGAAAAACGGCAATCTCCACATTAGCTATTATAGCGCTCTTTTGAAAACAACAGGCGAAGTCGAGATTCAGCGTGTCTGTTAAACGACGCCATCTTTAAAAAGATTATTATCGTGGTGTCGAGAAGGATTGTGGGGCGACGTTGGAACCTCCTCTMTACTGCTAAACACCAGAAGATTTTAAAAGACAAAACGGCTTCAAACGATACCCTTATTGAAACTGTAGTGTTACAAAGTTATGGTACCAAAATAAAACAAAAGGAAGGTCATGATATGGAAATTCAATAACTCAATAAACAATAATTACAATAAAGTATTTTGATGACACAAATGCATGTCAAAAGCATTAGGCAGCAATGCTATGGAATATATCAATGACGCAGGGCTCCAGCCTCGCACTTTTTATATTTTTTCTTATTTTCGCTTTTGTTCTCTCAACTCAAACGGCCCCCACTCACCAGATCCATCACATCATAATGTACCTGACGTTGGCTTGACACCAATCCATCACGGTTATAGTAACGGTGCCTGTCTGCCTGATGAGAACACAGTGATAAATACTTATTGTGCTCCTTCCAARACAGTGTCTAAATGACCATTACAACTGCTCAAAACCTTTGCCATATGATGCATTGGCATAGTTTTTATTATTGAAATGATTTCATAAATGGATGAATTACAACAATGAATATTTTTATGATTGATGGTAAAAACAAAAAAGTCAAGATGTCTAGCCTTAATAACAGAGCCTAAGGAAGTACAGGACTCAAGGAAATTGACTGACTATATCGTAATATACAAATCATTGTAATACAGGTTTAATACGACTAGCCTACGTTTCGTCTTGCGTGGTGTCGCGTGACTTAAGAGTCGTGCATCGGTATACAAAAACATGGCGGACCGGAGCAGTGGAGTAAAAAAGGTAATAGATACCATTCGGTTTGGTTTGATTGCTAAAACAAATATAATTAATGAATGTCTTGCATAGAGCTCTTTGCAAAAGTGTAATTTTTCATAAAAGGCGCAGTAATACTCCAATTTCGAGTTCTGGTTTGCTCTGTGTTAGCCTCAAAACCAAGTAACATATTCTTTTGTTTCATTGATAAATCGAGAAAACGCATGGAATTTGGGAAGAAAGACAATAGAATTGACTTGAAATCTCACACTTTTACGCTCACAATAAGGAATATTTTGCGCACAAATGAGGCTAACACAGAGCATTGGAGAATTCGAAACTGGAGTATTGGACCGATGACGCCGAAATCAAACTACTTTTGCATGACAATTTTACTCGCTGTCTGTGCAGTTTCAAATGAAAAAAAATGATTAAAGCAGCCCCAAAATCGTTACAGAAAAGTACATTTTATAGTTTGAAAGTGTTATAATRCAATTTGACTTGACAAAAACGTGTTTTGTAAACTAGCGCTTTCTGTTGAGACATCGAGGGCCATATTATAGACTAAGTGCAGGGCATCGATGCAGACAAACAAGCGGCTTTTTCGCTTTGTAATATTTCTTCCAATCAAGTTTCTTTAATTTGGTTGTTAGTTATATGAATCTCATAGCTGGAAAAAAGTGTAGTATAGGAAAAAGAGAGAAAATCCGACAAGTAATAGAGGCATTTCATCGTAGTGAAATCAAAGTGATTTCAACACAGGAAGCTCAAGGTTCAAGTTCTACAACAAAGCGACGATATATATATATATCTCACTCAGTCAATTTATTTTATTTTCTAGGGAAGAGTACTGGTGGTAGGAGCTGGAGTGATTGGACTAACGACAGCATTAACACTTGCAGAACACGGGTATTTACTAGGCATTGAGGCCAATGCAAGCTTGCCGTTTTGCATCGACTTCCTAGAACTTATAAAGCATGACGGGGGATGTTGTCKTCGCACTTTTGTTACCGAAAGTTCCGTTTTGTRATTTCTTTATAAATTTTCGCGAATTTATTGTATCGTTTCTCAAATGCAGATCATTTATAGTGCAGTCAAAATGCGTTTCCTATTCATGCTATTTTTAGAAAACCGCGCGTCTCTGTTAATTGTTTGATATAATTACAGGTCTTAATTCTATCGCATTCTTCTCTCACAGGTACAGAGTAAGGATTTTAGCACGAGAATTCGTCGCATGTGATGATAAATCAAAACTAACGTCGCAAGTAGCAGCAGCATTCTGGGGCATAAACACGTCTCCTGGCTGCGAAGAAAAGATAAAGGTATGTTAAGCCCATATGTAAATTAAGTCAAACATCCCGATGATCTACATTAACTGAAGTCCTTTGAATCACCACCGTTGCGTTCTTGTTCATATGTTTGAATGTTCTTGAGGTTATTCAATGAGGACGGATTTGCCAGTTTCGGSTTTTCCCAGAGGCTGCATCAAATCATGAGAGAATAACGTCTCTTCCGAGAAAACTATAGCCGCCTTATTTTTTTGGAAGCGACACATGTTTGAGGGGTTGCGCTCTTTAAACTGCCATAGATTAACCTCCATAGTGTGTCCRTAGTAACCAAAATATTAAGAATATATGATCCCTCTCTTTCTGTAACTCCACAATAGACTTGGTGTTTATGTGGTTATGACAAGTTCGTCAAACTCGCTGAGAATCCACAGCAAACAGGAGTGTTTATAAGAGAACTACTGTTCGTCTATCCACATCTGGTAAGTACCAGTATCATGCGCAGTGACGCCATTTTGTGCAGCAAAGGATGATGGTAGTTGTAGTCCTCCTTCCTTTTTAATGTCCGCTMCAACTGTCTTCCTGACCAGTTTTTGCTTTTTCTAATAAAGCAAAAATAGAAGATTTGTRCCGTTTCTGAAAAGAAAATGTAAAAACGGCTTTTAARAAGATATTATAGGGGCTWTGTAAAGTACGAGGACTACAAYTACCATCATGCTTTGCTGCACAAAATGGCGCCGCTGCACATTGCCTACAGACAAACCTTTGCTGACTTCAATGTTTCAAAAGTGTAACAACACCTTTAGCAGCACTTGATTATAAGTCCGTTAACACTAACTTGGGCTTTAACTCTCCACCCTTCACGCTGAAGAATCAGAACGTCTCGTATTTATTGTAGATTGACGCGGAGCCGCACTCTAGCGAAACGAAAAGCAATTTTCAAAAGTRCTTGCCTGAAAATCCCCTTCGTCATGATAAAAACCTCTTGAGGGAAAAAGGTAAGTCGTAATAATCCACTTCATGTTTCCCTGCGCCATCTYGAAAGGTCCCCTGGCCTTGGAATCGAAGCGAGACTGCTGTTGAGCGAGCAATGATGTATAAAATTGAGGAATTTGGCCTTGCTTTAGATATGTAATACAATTTCTAGGTCTATCCTTGGAATCTGGACTTCAGGACGCCATGTCGATACACTTGCCGGTGATTGAAACAGACATGTTTATGTACTGGTTGACTCAACAGGTGAAAGTGCTTTCAAAATACATATTATCAATGGAAGACTTCATGCTTTTCATAACRAACAACAAAGAATTTCGTAGCAAAACGTTTAAACCAAACGGTKCTGTAGATTTTTGCAAKAGAAGGAAAACGGCCATCTCCACATTAGCTATCAGTTTTGGCGCTCTTTTGTAATATTTTCCAAAGCTTACTTTGTTTGGACTCCACTATAGAATCATTCAGCTTTGATAATGATGAAAATATTYGCAATGGCTAAACAAAATCGTATCAAAATGTTAAATTGTATCTTTATTGCAGTGCATATCAAAAGGTGTGGATTTCATCAAAGGAACCGTCGATTCTTTCCTGGAAAACTGCGATTCTTTACAAAGAACACATCGGGCGGATTATATTGTCAATTGTACAGGGATATCAGCAAGAAATCTAGTCCAAGATCATGATGTTTATCCCCATTTAGGTATGAAAATACCATTTAGTATTGGTTGRTATTGGTTGGTTGGTTGGTTGGTTTGGTGGGTGGTTATGTGTAACCATGACAACTGCCGTAACATGTGCCGTCGCTCGGCAGTCGGAGAAACGATCATAAACATGTTAAAGGTGCCAACTTGCTATAGTCGTCATTTCGTATTGCAAGGTCTCGATTTTTCGTATTCCGAAAAATCCTCTCTACAAATCTTCACATGCATCGCCTTTATAAAAAGTATATTGCGCGTTTTATGTAAATGTCTTCAATTCATTTTTATAGGTGTGGGACTAACCTTACGTAATGGCGACAGGATGTTTCCTGTCCCTGAAAACTGCGCTGTACGTGGGAAARTCTGGTATCAAGATGGTGCTAAAGCTGGAAGAGTCGCCATCGTACCAAGAGGTATTCATGATAAATTTCTCATTTCTGAAAATGCAGATTCTCACTTCGGTCTCTGCTTCGATGATGTGACAATACCATTTCCGCATTTTATTTTTTGTGGCGTTTGTTTCTGCTAGTATCTCTGAATTAACTGCCTTTGTTTTTAAACTCTGTTATCCTATAACCTATCAAGTTCCTTGATTTAGGTGATCACAGTCTATGGCTTGGTACGATGCATTTAAAATCATACGACAAGAACATCGGTCTTTCACATCCTTCAGTACAGAGAATGCTTCAAGAATGTCAAACCATCTATCCACCGCTTAAAAACATAAATCAAGACGACCTTCGTGTAACAGTTGGTATGCGACCCATGCGTCGAGGAGGCCCACGCGTGGAACGCGACTCACGTTACCCTTTCTTAATTCACARTKATGGACATGGRCAMTTTGGCGTGATGGAATCGTGGGGTTGTGCAATGGACGTATTTCATATTTTACAAAAATCATCGTGTTCTAAATTATAAGWAATTTCACTACGTTTTTATTAAGTTCCTGTTTGAGAACAGATGTGTCATCGAAGATAACAGATGATACCAATACAAACTGATAAACTAGTAGCCCTCACTCTGAAGCTAAATAATAAGAATGATATTCATTAAAATAAATGATAAGAAATAAAGAAGTAATAAAAGAACTGGTAGCTATGTTGTGAGTTGAGGGAAGGCAAAACGCTACTTTTTGCAAAGTTTTGGAGGTCATATGAGCATAGTTATAAGGGTYCTAGTTGTCAAAGTAGCCGTCTTTAGATACTTTAACTGAGAACGGCGAAAGTCAAAATAATCGCTGGTCACTTTTTCTGTATTAGTTCTCCGTTTGCGCGCGTTTGTATATAAATTCGGTAGTTTTCTCGTGGTTGAGAGTATCCTTTTTTCGGCAAAAAAACTGAACTTTTTGCAAACGAAAAACTTTTTTTGAGGTGTATTTATACCTTTAATAAATCCCTAGCTACTGGATTGTAAATACATATTATACAGGAATAGTAGCGGAAAGTGTATATTGAACAAACATCTCAAGCACCCTATAAACTCCAAGTGTCTATTGTGCATATATTCTGTGTATACAGTCGTTTGCACTGTGTACACTTTAAGATTTAGCTTGTATACAGTGTATAAAGTTGTAAGCTTTCAAGAACACGCCATACAGCTGTTTGCAATAATTCTGACCCCCTCTGCCATATTTCATATATATCAAACTGAGCTTTAATATTATGGGATATCATCACTGATATATTTTTTGAGTTGTCCAGAATGAGTACTTTCTCAAAAAAAATATCAGCAATGGTATCCGATAATTTCTAAGGCTGTTTTGATATATATGAATATTAGTGTAGGGGGGTCAGAATTATTGCAAACAGCTGTATACACATTATTAGTATAAACATATTAATGGTCTATCACTCATACTGCGCTGTGATTGGCTACTCTAGTAATGGTCTGATTTGTGATGGACCACTCGTGGGAAAATCAATCTCATTAATAAATTATTTTAGGATATTTCAATTTATTTTAATTGTTTGACCGATAAGTATGTTTATACTAAAACAATTAGACCTCTCGGCCTCGTGGACTACGAGTTATAATAGCCCATTCGGCCTCGCGGACTCGGCCTCATGGGCTATTAGCTCGTAGGCCACTCGACCTCGAGGTCTAATTGTTAATTAGAAGTATCAAGAATATACAATCAATTTCATTAACGACATTGTTCGTTGTTCAGTTGTAAGAAGACAAAGACAACAACAAAGTCATTTGCATTTTTAATCGCAGGAAGAATTTTAATGATAGACTTTAGATAAATATGGAATTAAATGTTATTGAATTTGTAAAGACGTTTTGGAGCTCTCTGTTGAATATTTTTTCAAAAGAAATTAAAAACACGATATATGCGAATGACTTTGTTGTTGTCCTTACGTCTTACAATAGAACAACACGTCAATTGTGCAATTGTGCAAAGTGCGCATTGGTTCTTTTCTGTAGTTGGGTGGCCTATGATCATATGGCAAGTTTACATACAGAACATAGAAATACGTAAAATAAAATTGTAATTAAGTTTATATTAGAGTGCAAGTCACATAAGAATGAAACAATTCTTAACTATGTAGTGCTAAACAAGATTTAGTTATCAACTAACTAAGAATTGAGAACAATGCTACAAAGGGATTTTTAATAATTGGTATTGTGTTTATGCTTTGTTGAATTCTTATTTAGTTGATAACTAAATCTTATTTAGCAATACATAATAAGAATTGTTTCATGCTTATGGCCTTATGTGACGTGCACTGATCATGGATAACGCGGCTTTAGTGGAATTGATGTTTGTCAGCTTATACCGTTTCCGTGTATCCTGCGTCATGTTAACTTCATACTATGTCAGTCAATAACATTTCATCTTCTGAATTGACCAGTGTTTGTTCATTTTCCACGTTTGTATTGGAAACACAACATAAACACCCACAACAACTGTCATCAATTATGTATGGAGCTGGGTTTGATTGAATCTTCTTCACTTTTCTAGCAAGAACAGAAAGTCTCTTTTTGTCAGATTTGTTTTGAAAGTCGAACAGATTTACATGGTTTCTAAGCCAGTAATGATTGCAAGATCCAGATTCCAGTGCAGTGTGTAATTCCTCTAGCAGCAGTGCAAAGCATTCTTCAATATTCTCATCATCCCAGAAACTTTCTGGTTTCTTCTCAAGAGTATTAAGAAAGATTGTCTTCATGTGATAGGATGAGAGATTTGGAAGAATTGTTTGCAAGTGATCCTTGAAGATGATTTTGAGAGCCATGAAACATTTTCTGGCTGTACCTGGTAAAAGTTTTGACAGTTCAAATTCTGCTAATGAGAATGAAAACCTCCAAGATGGCAACTCTTKTTCTTTATTTTGTGGTGGTAATGGCTTGGCAACTAAGTGAATGCCATTGGAAGTGATYCTTTGTACATCATCTGTGCTGGGCCATAATCGTTCTCTCCTTGGCCAATCACTTAATGGAGGCCACTCAACGCATTTAATACAAAATGTGATGTCACCTTCAAATTTGTCATRACCCACAAGAAACTTAATGGTCGGACCTTTGATATTTACATGAATTGTTTCACAACAGTATACACAAGGGAATCGTAAAGGGAGATTGGTTGCTTTAGAAGAAAGCACAGCATCTTTTACATTGACAAGGATGACACCGGGTTTCAATACTTTTTGGTGTGGAGTTTGGCCCTGAAAACTGACTTGACAATATGCTGAAGAGTCTGTCCTATTTGTCTCGAGTTCTTCAATGTGAATGTTTCCTTGGCCACTGAATGAAGCTTCAAATGTATCACAGCATAACATGACATCAACATCGCACAATAAAGCATCCACTTTTCGTGAAATTACTTCATCAGTAATGGGAATACCAAATCTTTCTGCTACACTTCCAACAAATAACGAAGAGAATGATGTAGTAGTGATAATTCGGTCACCTAGTTCAACTATGACATCGTTTAAAAAATTATTATACTGTTCTTGAAGTTTTTGGTATTTTTCTTCAGAAGGCAAGTGCTCATCAACAGAAAGGAGAATGTCCCTGAGAGGCTTGGAACTGATTACAACCGCGCAGATCCCTTTCCTGTAACCAAATGTTCCTGGAAATAGTTTTGTCTGAAAAATAATTTACACGTATTAGGTGCTAAACCTGGCTAAAAGTATCATGGGATAGATTCTTTTTACTGACGTCATTTGGGCTACGACGAAGGATTAACATCCGAAGCGTCAGTAAGTTGTTTCACCTCTTTTCTTACGGTGTTTAATTTATCTTTTCACACAACTTTACTGTTTCTTTAGAAAAAAAAAAAAACAAAAAAACACCGACGCAGCTCACACTAGTTTACCGCTAGGTTTCCACCATACATTTCGGCTAGTTCATATAGGGCCATATAGCCATGTTAAACTAGAGCAAAATACCACAGATTCAAACGACAATGCCATTGAACCACATACCGAAGGGATGCGAATTTAGTGAATGAGTGATTTTGAAAATTTCCTGCAAAGTTGTTCACAAGTTTGCACAAAGACCTGTGACAAAAAGGTTAGGGAATGCATATATTATATCTATCGTACAATTTAAATAACTAGAACAACAGGGATGTGTAGCAATTAAGATTCATTTAGAGCAAAATTTACCAATCTTGATTGACAAATAAGTGTTTACAAAACGATGCAGAATTCATCCCGAATTCATCGACTAGATGCTGCATTCGCCCATATCTCGTTTACAATCATAGATTCAAAACCGGATAGCGGATTAATCCAAAACTATGTTGAATAAACAGGAAACCAACGGAGACGAAAACATTGTGAAAACATGGCCTGAATCAATATCTAGTTTAATAAAAAATATTTTAGTTTAAATCTAGCCTGTCCAGCAGATAACATTGTTCACTGGGCGATCATACGTACAATCAATTGGGTACATGTTTACCTGTCTTAATAATTACCGTGCCTAGGGCGAAGGCCGACGGCACAGATTTAAAATGCTGCGACTGTCTTTTTATTGTTATTGTTGCTATTTCCAGGTTACAGTTTACCCGAGCGATTTTTGTGCGATAGTAGCCCGATTCCGACAACTCCCGATTATTCTGCGATAAAGAGCACAAGGGACGATATGACCGATCAAGGTGCAAGTGCAGAGCACATCCAAACTTTGCGAGAGGTTACTTATTAGCGAAAACTTGCGACTTAATATTCTAATAATTAAGCTATGTTCGAGATCGATTGCCTTGGTTGCAATTCCAAGTGAGCGCTCTAAGAGCGCATAGTTTAGTATGCATATACAGTACTTTACTGTTTAGCAGACACAATGAATATTCATGCTTGACAATCTCGCCGAGCACTCCATCTCTTGAATTTTACAACATTACACTTGCGACTTGTAGAGAAGTTTCTATCAATCAGTCAACTTTATTTGCCCTAGTTCATCGATGAATTAAAGTTTTTTTATCTCGTAAGTAAAGCAGCAAATAAAACCAAAATCTTAGTTCGCGAGCGATACAACGATTTTGGTTTTATGCCCAATCGGTGTAAGTTTGCCAATCACGTACTATATTCTCAGTCTTCATATTATCAGTCTCGGTACTTACCAGAAAAGTTCGTACAAGATGAATCCTTTTGAGAAGTGAAATAAGAAGTATCAATAAACAAATCGACGAATACCATATCTTTAAAGACACTGACTGCACAATATCGCGTATAATGAAATACATAGTGTAAAAAATACTGATTGAAACCAAAAGTATCAATGGTATTGATAACAGGACAAATAAAACTTTGACCCAGTTAGGGTAATTTAGGCCTAGATCCTTGACTCGCCAATATATCGTCCACTGGGATATGAAAGACATTTTAACGAATGTTCCACTGTCAAACAGCCGGAATTAGTTATTTTACTGTAGAAGGCAGGGATAGTTTCCCTCTGCTACGTGTAACTGCTATAAAAACTCATGTAGTAGAAGAGACAGAAGATGGGACGAGAACGACTGATCAGAACTCGCCAGGGCGGAAGTTGCAATAGAACAACACTCGGGGTAACCCTCAGTATAGCAACAACACACGTGATCTGAGAGTTCTTATTGTTTGTTCTAATTACCATATTTGCTTAGTTATGTGTATAGTTAGGCTTAGAGTACATAGTTAGTCTTATTGATGCTATTAATTATAAGTGTTTTGATGGAATAAAACCATCTCTTGAATCTTCTTGAGTTAAACAAAGCTCGGGCTTCCTGTGGTTTTCAATACACCTTTTCAGTTGCACTTAGGCCTCGATAAAATGTTAATTATTCTTTTGAATTTGACAAATGAGACTCTTCATATCAATGTTTGCATTGATCACATTCCTACAAATTCAAAAGCATATTTAACACGCTGCCGAGGCCTAAGAGCAACTGAACAACGTTCTGAACATAATTCAAACGACAATACACCGTTAAAACAGGTTTTTTTCAGACATAATAAAAATGTTGTATATATATATATGTGAAAAAGTAGTAGAACTCTGTAGATCTGGAAAAGCTTTCAGCTGCTGGTCTTTGGGCTTCCTGTGGTCTCTCTACATGCGTGACGTAATAAACTATTATGTTCTTCTAATTCTCGTCTCCAGTCTCCCTTCTCTTCATCCCCAGAGAACCAGAACCCCTCACTCCACCACTCACATTTTCTTCCAAAGGGACCCCAATAGTAAGAAATAAAGGAGTACTCTGTGGAAAAGGTTATAT